TGATATGCCTCTTGATAAAAGAAAGAGAGGCACAGGCGATAGTATCTGCACCGTTATTTGCCCAGTCTTATCTTGCGAAACGGCGCGCCGGCATTTGTGGACTGTAATTTCGTATGGCTCCACGGCGATCAATTTTAATGTTTAATCAGTATCTGGCTCACGTGCCTTTCATTTATATCACGAAATATTTACTTAAATTATCCGAACCGCGGTGCTTTAACACACCCTCGCGTGCGTTAGTTCTGCCCCGGGATAACCCCCGGGTGCACCAACCCCGCGGTCCGCATTTTCGATCCGTGATTCAATTTTGTTTCACTTTGTTCACTACACACACGTTACGTGTCTTTGCTCGCGCCTGACCCGAAATTAATTTAGCGCAAACACTTCCCCCGTGATTCGGCAATATCGCCTATCCTATCGCCCGTAGTAGCGCCTGGAAAATTGGCTTACTCGTAGTATCGTTCGCGGGTAAAAATCGAACGGGGGAACTTATTCGCGGGATCGATTCGTCGGGCGGGGAGAAGTCACGTTTATTTGAGAACGCTCGTGTTAACGTGCGCGACACGGGGGAAATTTATCAATTTTTGCGCCGAGGAGGGGCGCGCGAGCCGTATCTCAGGGAGCGAAAAGAAAAACTCAAGTACTGATTATCCTCATAGGACTAAACTTTTATCCCGATAAGATCAATTTTCCGTTGCGTATTTCTCGCGAATCTCCGGCAGCGGCACGTGGCATGAATTATTGAAAGCTTCACGGAAAGTTATTCCGCCGGCCTTGAGGCGAGCGTGGCCCGATACACGGTTTCCCCGGTGAGAGAGGGCCCCGAGAAAGCGGCGTAATGGTAAGGAGAGCGCGGCGGAATAGGCGCACTATCGATTCCCCGCGTAATAAGAGTAACAATTTGCCGAATGCGGGATGATTGTGTAAGTGCGCTCGCACCTGCCGGCACGGATACGCTCTTACCGCGAGGCGGACGAGAAATTGGCGCAGGCGTTACCGCGAGGGGCTCCCTTTAACCCGCGCCTGCAATTCTCATGCAGCCGTATACGCATCCGGTGCATGCGAGACCGCCCTTCGAGCGCGTTCTTGCGAGACTTTCATTGCACGTATAATTCGTCCTTGGATAACTGCGAACTAATATCTCTCTCTTTTTCTTCTCTTGCTTCCTCTCTCTACTTCTGCTCGGAGAGATTTCGCATGACGTTTTATTCGGGAATGTTGTCCACAGCGTTCGCAGCAACATTTCTCCTTTTAACTGTTATTTCAGTGGTTAGTTCTTACACTGAAAGTACATAATGCGCATAAACTGGATGGTCACGGATTGTGCGAAATGTTGTTTGTCTGACGATTATAACATTTTTGACGTTTATCATTTTAAATAAACTGCTTCTCGTATTTTAATGTAATCCGAAGCTGCAATACACATTTTGTGGAGTGGTCTAATATTGTTAAAAAAATTTATATAAGTCACGATGGCGCTTAACGCGTCTTGCGAATAACGAAACCGTTACAATAAAATAGTAAATTACAATAAATGGTAGAACGTCGAGATTTAAAGGATCTTCGTTACGTATAATTAGATAATTTTTGACATATGTCTACATAATTTTTTTCGCACGTACATTCCCGTTTATTTTTCATCAGATTCGTCGTGTAATTAAGAGAAATTGTGACGGATTTTCCGCGCGAAGATAAACTATTCCGACACATCCTGTTTAAGCGGCTTGTTAAATTTGTGCTCAGAACATTTGCCATGCGCGTTGGTCTTTCCACAGTTAGCGTGAAAAGATAATTAGGGAAATGTTTCGCATCTGCGTTATTATACAACATAATGTCGCATTTATAATGAAACTAAAGCGAGATACGGGAAGAGTAAAAAGCAAAGAAATATAAGAAAGAGCGGTTCATTCGTGGCGTCTCGCTGCTACTTAACGTAAGTAGTCAAAAACACAGTCAAAAACAGGTCAGACATCGACGCGCGCCATTAGGCCGGTTCTACATTGGTCGTATCGTAGTGTCGCAGGGGTCGTAGACTGGTTCTAATTCAACGCTGGTTGACCGAATCTATGATTTGCGACACGCTCGATGTAAAACCGGCCTTAAGGACCGTCTACATTGGAAGTAAGCAGTAAGAATTAAGGAAACCAAAACCTTTACTTATCAGTGTAAAAGCTAAGGTACAGGCATAATTTTTAAAAATATTAAAATTTTTTTAAAAATATAGTATTGGTCGAACTGCGCTCTAATTCGTCGAGAGTAAGCGTCAGAGCTGAAGTAGGAGTAAGAAATGGAAATGATACATTTCTTTACTCCTACTCTTACTTCTTACACCAGGCTTACTTCGTCTATTGTAGACGATCCTTTAGCGAGCGCACGATCTTTGCGCACTTCCGGGTCGCAGGTCGTACGATGATTATCGAAGCCCTTCCACTTGTTCGACCCTTCGACTCGTTGGCTCTTTCACTCGCTTCCGCATTGACAAAGCTCTCGATTGAGTCGCGAAACGAAAAGAAAAAGTTTCACGCTCGCCACGCGCTGGCAGTACGAAAGTTTTCTCGGCGATATGCGACAGTCCTGCGTTATCGCTACCTTGGACTGTGGCAGATACTTCTTCGCGCTGTGTCAGACGTAGGTATCTAAAACGCCGTTCGTGATCGCTCGTGTGCAGGTACGTGCGATCCAGGTACGATAAACGCTATCGTATAATCGAAATGACGCCAGCAGGAAGCACCTCGTAAGCGTATCTTCGCATATGCAAGCCCGTGTTAATGGTGGACTCCGGTCTGACAAAATTATCGATTTGTCACTTGGATAAGCCGATAAGCGTTAGATGTATATTAGATATCGTGCAAATTATCGCGGGAAATTAGGAATAAACGCTTTTTGCCGCGGAAGAATCAATTGCGAGTTCTCATTGTAATTCTCGACGTCGGAACTATGGTTGCGAACTGTGGAGTTGACTGTAAATATGTATTTTTTTTTTTTTCGTATGCATCGGGCGCCGCGTCATATCAGCCTGAATATAAAACGTGCTGTGAATGATGAAATGTTCTGCTGAGAAAACAAGTCTTTCGCAAATGAAATATTCAAATTAGCCCGTATCGGACGACGTTGTCCTAAAATATCCGCCGGGAGCGTTACGGTCGAAACTTGGACGGGGTTACGAGACTAATAAACTTTTTTATCGCGTCGTGAAGAAACCCATTTGTTTTACGTCACTGAAAATCGAGTCGAAATTGTCGTTTTAATAAAAAATATGATTAAAGTCGAAAAGCCGTCGGGGCAGTTAAATAAAACGTGTTATCCGCCAAGATGCGAGATTAATTCGACCGTAATTCTGTTATTAAAGTCTACAACGTTTGCGAGTACCGTCGCCTACTTCTCACGTTGTCTCTAACGATCTGTTTGGTGCGGCCAGAGATCGAAGGTAGATTCGCGAAATATAGCGGCAAACGACTTATTCGCGGCTTGTTCCCGGCCCGACAATGATCCTAACATCGGACCCAAGATTTGCCGCGTGCGATGCTCGCGCTGATAATATCATCCTCCGGGCATGACAGTGACAGGCGTCGCTATCGATTATGCACGATGCGCGCATAAGCCGCGCACGATTGTCGATCCGCCGCGCGTTCTCGCGAGCACCCTCGCCGCGGCCGGATCGCGTATTCCATTTGTATTCCCCGCTTGACAGCCAAAGTTCATACGTACTCTCGCCTACGTAAGAAACCTGATTTCACGTGACGACAGCGCATCAATTCTCCGCCAGTCATAGCGCGCGAGCGCGATGGCAGATTTCGATACTTGTAAAATGGTTTTCTTCACGCTACAGGACACACCGGGGGGACTTTCCTGCGACGTTTTTAGATATAAGTCATTTATCTCGAGCGGAAGCTCGACTCATGCGAACTCGCTGAGATCGATACGTCGCGTTAATTTATATTCGCCTGTCGTCCAGTTTCTGGACGACGTTTCTTTGTAAGTCCGCGAATCCCGGTACGAAGTCGCCGGACATCCTGCGGATTATGCAGATGAGACTGATATTTAATCACGCAGTTACGCGAACGCATGCCTGTCGGTCCCATTAAGGTGCACGCTGTACAATCAGCGAGCATGTATGCCATGTTGCACGTTGTACACGCGGATAAACATGTGGCGCGTCAGATATTATAGACACGAGTCGGTAGTCCGTAACGGCCAATGGATCATGAACGCTGAAACGGAGTAGACACCTATAAATATCGCTTGTGGAACCGAGAAGAGGAACGCCGGTGAGAAACGCCGAGATTGACAATGGATAGGGAGAAAGGGAGAGAAAGAGAGAAAGACAGAGAAACTGAAAGAGACAGAGAAGGGGGAGAGAGAGAGAGAGCGCGCGGGCGAGACGGGAGATCCGGAATAGCCCGGGAAAGTTTTCCAATTTGAAGCAATTAGTTTGCAGTACGGCGTTGGATGGCATGCATCCAGATAATCGAATATGGGTCAGCGTCTAAAGCGGGATGGGGTCGAGCTACGATCGCACAGAGGCTGCGAGAGCGAGAGGGGGGGGGGAGGGGATGGAGCGCGAGTTTCCCCGAGTGTGTGCACGTGCGACGGGGTGGACCCGTCGCACTTCTGGTATGTCCGACGCGCATAAAACCACGTGGCACAATTCGAGAGCGCCCGCCTTAGAATTCCGTCGCGCGGTAATCGATTGACCGATCGTCCCCGATCTACGAATGCAATTGATCGATGCACCGGCCGCCGTCTTCGGACGCGGGTGATAGAGCTCTAAAGTTTTCCGCCGTACGTCTGTTTGCGGGCTCTCGGAAACTGTTCGGACGAGAGATGCACGAGAAAGAAAATTGCGGCTATCGCAATCCAAGCGCACGACGTACAAACTGTAGAACAATTTGCATGATACTGGGCATTCTCTGGAAGACTGTCGTGATTAATATTTAGAAAAAAGAGAGAGAGAGAGAGACGAGAGTTTCGCTGATATTCTTTTATGTTTCTGTTTGCAGAATCCGAGGCCAGCTGGGAGGAATGGTGGACCTACGACGGCATTTCCGGTGAGAATAGTTTTTCTTTTCTCGTCGTTAGCGGGGATAAAAGTTTCGCAAGTGTCGATGTCAGACACTCATTAATCTCACTGAACTAGGAATGACGATACCTGCATAAATGCGCATGCGAATTGTCCATTATTGTTATGTAAAATACCGGGCATTCACATCAGTTATTGTCGTCGAGAAACGTTTGCCGAGCTTACGACATTTTTTTTCGATCTACTGTCGCTTTTCGTGTCGCGCGTAATTTCCGCGTTCTTCATCATTTTTTTTTTATATTTCCGACTGTCGCGCATGATAGACAAAGTAGGAAACTTAACCGGCCCGTTTTACCAAGTTTGTTCATTTTGCGCGAAATTTTCACAACTTCACTACCGAATACCAAGGTTTGCGCGACGTTAATAGCAGAATTAATGTTATTCCGAGAACGTAGTGCAAGGTGTATTATACAATTAAAATTAATTTTGTAACGCAGTATTCTCTACAAAAACACGCGATAACGAATCTGTCGCGTGTCTACATTTTAATAACCGGGGTCAGCTTGTCGTGAAAATTGAGCTTGTAAAACCGCGTTTGAATGAGATTTGCGGCGTATCGACGCAGGTGCGTCATTCGCTAAGTGATTACTATTAAATTCCTGAAAACAGGATATAAACGTTTCGCGAGCTCAGCCGGTCGTGCGGCTTCCTAATTTTCTTAATTTTAAGTTACGAGGCCATCGAGTGCCTCCGGGCGCCGGTGAATTTTTTAATCTCGCACCATACACTTCCCCTTCGTCGTAGTTTTTATTAAAAATAAGGCGAGCGCGCGCCGATAAGACTGCACCACGTCGGTCCCGGGTCTTAAGTTTAGTGTTGTTCCACCATGCGAGCCAGCTGCCACACGAAAAACAGTGCCGTATACTCGGGCGTTCGCATAAAACGCCAAAATTTTCAGCCGCACCCCCACAGTCGTCCGGTCGATCTCCCCCCCGCGTTTCCTTCGATCGCGCCAACCCTACGAATTTTTCTCTTCAGCCTGTTGACGTCGGGGAGGGAAGTTGTTGATCTCATTTCGGGATTTACGAGCGCCACAGAATTTCGCCATCGATTAGCCCGAGTGCTGCAACGAAATTAAGCTCGCTCCGCGAACTGCCGATAATAACGTTATCACGAGCGATATTCTTGCGACGGCAAATGCGAAGCTTGTCGCGTCATTTTTTCCGCGAGTTTCGGACGTCGCGCTTTGACTTCCGCGTGTAACGCGATTTTAAACAGAACGCTCGAGGCGAGAAACGCGAGAATCCCGCTTCAATAAAATTAAAGGTTGTATCTTCTATTAACGTATTTTACGACTAACAATAAGTGCGAAACGTTATTCGCTGGTGCATTATTAATCACGTAAATTACAGTGCTCGTCTCACATTTTAACTTGGCACTTTTGTTTCTTTTTTTTTTAGTTTCTTCAAAGGACATTTGTCCGATGTAAGATATTGTTAGTATTTTATCTCTCTTGATATTATTTTACAATCGATCGCAGCGCATTCAATTTTTAGTTAGAATTTTTCAATAGAATAGTTCGAACTTTAGATACACTTACTGTGCCGTTGAATCGGCTAGGCGACTTATTACCGTGATCGATGGCAAGAATCGATTTTTAGGGGGTCCGCTGGTGTCTCATATCGTGGACAGATGGGGGTTCTCGTTTTACAACCAATAAGCGCACACCCTCGGCCGTGCACTTTAAGCATTATGTACTCCGGATTTATATAGAGTTTCCCTTTCCTCCGAGGTTTACGCCGTGTCTTATTTTCATTTTCTTTGATAAATTTGGAGATGAGTTTTTCTCAGCGAAAATCTGATTACTCGCCGCCCCCTTGTTTTTTTACTTAATTTTTTAACGTTCGAAACTGTAACATCTTCCCAGATAACTTTTAGCTGAGAATACTGTCAAAGTACTCTTGAATTTAGCTACGAAATAAGATTTGGTTTCTACCTACTAGCGTCTCGGAAATTTAATTTTACTTGAAGCGCATTACCACGTAATTCAAAATTTCGTTAATGAAAAATTAACTGCAGATTGAGGACGAAACGAAATTATATTTACGTGATTTTCGTAATAGCCTTAACAGATATGTTTCTTTAATGTTATGCGGTACATGTTTTATGCGAGTATCAACGTGGAAGGCTGCCAATTTCACAAAGTCTGCGCGAGTGCAGCGTGCATGAACAATTGCATTTCCGCGTGTATTTATGCGACAGCGGAATAATCTGGTTACGTTACAACGCAGATTGCAAGTTGAGCACTTATGCTTTTTTCGACCTCGAAATGCACCGTCGCGGCAACCGCGTTTACGGAACGGCTCTGATTTTATGAGCGACGTGCCGCAGTATATGATATATCTTTGATTTCGCCTCGAGGGTATTCGAGGCAAACTGCTGGCTGAACTTTGCTACTGTTGTTATATTATAAATGTGAGACGGAGGGGAAAAAAGAAGTTTTAAGATATATTGCTTCGATTATTCGCGAACATGCTGCGTGTACCAGATTTACCGGCGCTCCTCTCAACTGTGGATACCGAGAAAATAAATAAAGAAACAACCTGAAAAGAAGCTAATTTGACAAAACTTGGGCGCGACGTCTTCTACAAAATTAAATCGCCAACATTCAGAATATCGGAAATTTTGCCGATACTTGGCATTTCTGCATTGAATTATTGCAAATAAGCGAAATATCTTAATCGCCCGGTTACATGTTCCGAAGCTTTCGTTCCCATGATGAATGCTAATTCATTATGTACGATGCATTCAAGCTGCGCTCGCATCGGTTTTAGAAGATTAAACGGCCACCGCTCTCGGGGGCGATATTCCCGTAATACGAGGAATACTCGCGGCCGCGGAAACAAGTCGCGGGGATTATTAGGGTCGCGAATTGCGGCGGAGTCAATGGCGAATCATCGGACGAATAAAAACCGCGCCCGGCGAGGTGGCTCGCGAGAAAATCTCCGCGAACGCGGAACTTTTCCAGGGCGACGGGATTAAGTCCCCGACGCGCGCCTCGGTCCTGCCTTTACTCCGCCACGCAACTGGTAGCGGCATTGGCAGCACCCCGTTACGTCGACGAACAGTTTCTTAAGCCCGAGAGAAGAGAAGCACTACGAAGCTGAAGATGAAATTTCCGCGGTGCGGCGAGAATATGTCTCTTCGCCTAAAGACGCTGAAAAATGTAACGCGTTTCTCGAGGATCCGTACGCCTCCAGCCACGCGTTGCACCGGTTGTTATTGCATCGCGGACCGCTGTAAAGAGCTATTTCAAATTTTATTTCAAATTTTAATGCGATATGCACACAAAACGATCTCGTGATAATAACGAAGACGCACCCTCAGAAAGGATTTCTGTTACCGAGACAAAAAATATTCTTGACGCGTTTATATTTCTCGCAACCTCATTTAGTATAAAAATAATAGCGTTTTCGACTGACTGGAACTGACATGGGTTTTAGCGCTCCCGGAGCGATTAACCCGAAGATACTAGGAACATATGTTCGACCGAAAATGGGTTATGAACCTGGGTTAGGTTCTAGTTACAATATTCTTTTCAATTTTATGATAAAATCGAAATGTTTATTGGTAAACTTACGCGTTATTATCGTCAAAGAATGCTTTGTTCCACAATAAACACGCACGTATAACCTGATTGTAACCTAACGTAGCTTCTTAACACTGATGGATCAATTCACAATGGTATGGGTCGAACATGGGTTGCATTTGGGTTATTTGTCTAGTAACCTAAAACAATACTCGTGACGTCATTAATCGCTCCCGGAGCGATTAATCCTGGTCCAGTCGAAAACGCTATATGACGATATCAAAGTAAAATCATTAATTCTTATTCTCCTAGATCGAATTAAAAAAGTTTGACTCACTATATTGAAACGAGAGCAACTTATATAAATGTAAGTTTATATATTCTTGCGTTTAGAATAAATGTTCCCTCCATCTTACAACGCACGAAGTTGGCACCACGATATTCGACAAAAGACGGTACTATCGTTTTATTCTAGATTTCAGAATTTTTCATTTAAAAGGTGACTTCTGCACGAAGGTTTAGTACGGGTGCTTTGGAGGGCCCCTTTGATTTTTATAAATTCATATGACTTTTCATAAAAAATATCACGTAATGCATTTTTGATCAAATGTATTGATATGCTAGGTTATATATGCACATTGAAAAATATATTGTAAAATATGTGACGTTGTCAAGACTCAAAGGGCTGTCGAATTTCCTCAAAACGTTGTATCTTTTGACTTTACTAATAAGCATTTCCTTGCAGAGGCCGGTGACCTCATATATTTAATAGCGCATTTGAATCCTTGCGACATTTATTATGTTTCTCTCGTTTTTTGTTAAGATCTACTTTTTCTATAAAATAATATTAACCCTCAAAGTGCTTCTGCGAGCGGTCGGCTCACAACCCCTATCCCAGTGAACACCGCGTAATAGTTACATAATGTCAATATTATAATTTCTTACTTAACAATGCAACTGTAATATAACATGGGTGCCATATTACATTTATCTTGTTGAGTAGGAAATTGTAATATCCATGTTATGTAACTGTTGCTTGATGGAAAATTTTCCATTCACCTCGGTCGAGGGGTAAACCGCTGACCGAAATCATGTACACCAATGCCTACCAATTCCCAGTGGGCATCGCTTTATCTTATTATCTTATTTTATCTTTATAATGCCCCAAAAATGCCCAGCAATGTCCAGTAATGCCGCAAATCTGTACACCGCAATGCCCTCAGCGGTTTACCCGTAGACCTCAATCGACTGTCAGAATTAGATCGTAACGTATTCTTATCTTTAGAATACGTTTCTAGATGCACGTTGATAAATGTAGAACGTGCGCGTGCTTGACGAATCTAATTTCGGTGAGTTGCAAAAAGAAGCGGTGCTTTTTCCAGAAATTGTGAATAGCCTATTTCCTTGTCGTCCAAATATTTACTTGAATGAATGGCCTT